ATTTTGGAGAATCCTAAAGTATGTGACATTCCATCAGTCATCTTTTCACTATCTGCCATTAGCACAGTGAAATACAAGAAAAAATAAAATTTCAGTTTCCAGAGGTGGGTTCTGAAGACAAAAATCTTCCTTACTTTTTTCTGATAAACTGTCTTTTCTGAACTGGGCATTAAAGAGAGTGTAAATTTTCCTTATTTACATCATCAAATGTGCTTTTCTTGACTTTGGAGTCAAGGAGATTATGAGAAAATAAGAGACAATGATGGGAAAAATTGCTAAGATTTTCTGATCTCTAGGAAGTGAACTTCTAACATTTCAGAAAATTACGCTGTGGATTTCTTTCCGAGCTATATCCTGTCTGTGAAGCCCTATGGCACCTTGGTCTAATTGCCACAGCCAGTCCTGGGGATGTTGAATCTATAGGGTCATCTGCAGAGTTCAATCAAACCTCTTCCCCTTCCTGGTAAGTGTGGAGGTTTCTGGTGTGTCCTGTACAATTCACACTGCTGATGGCACTCGGCAAATTATAAATAATGAATAAACCTGCCTCCTGTCAGCTTGATGGAAAGAAGCTGCTTTCCAGGCTACAAATTGAGAGACGGTCACTGCCGTGCTCAGTTTCCCAGAACACACAAATGTGTCATCTGCGCAGAAACTGAAAGTAGCTATCTGTGCTCTACAAGGCCAGATTATTCCTGATCGTTTTTAGATGTACTGCTGCAAGTAAGTCACAGTTCTCTATATACCGAATCGGCAATCCTACAAGGAATAATTTCAAGCTCTCTGCACTGAGAAGGAGATTGTGATTAAAAATAAGAAATGGTAACACAAATTGATGTTACTAACTAGAATGCCGATTCAATCCTGTTCCCTCTTCATTTCTTTTTCAGTCAGAACTCAAAAAAATACTGAAAAATTAGACTATGTCAATTGCTGCTTGCTTTCAAAGTCAGTGTGAAATGGTTCCTTTCAAATTCATCTTTCTCTTAAGCTTATGGTTCTATCAAAATCACAGTTATCACCCTCAGTGGATTAATATTAAAGAGATACTCCGTATTAACACACTTTTTACCCAGATTATTAACAGAATCATAGATGTAGAATCCTTTAATACATTAATGTACAAGACATAATTACATAATTTTAATAAATAAATAACATAATTTTCAATGTCTTCTAAAAATCAAATTTGAATTGTGTTTCTTCCAAAAGAGGGAGAAAGCTAATAGTTAAGGTTTGTTTTCTGACAATTGTTCTTAAACTTTCATATCAGAGTCAACTTCAGAATTTTGAAAATAACATAGATGCCTGAGTTCCAATATAGACCTATGGGAACTGATCTTTAAATATATACTCTAGTCCTTAAAACCTTTAAAAAGCTCTAAAATTGATACTGTTATTACACCAGGTTTAAGGAGTACACTTGTAAACCTTAAAGTCTATGTCAAGGTCTGGCAACAAGCCAACTTTTTTTTTTTTTTTTTTTTTGAGAAACAGTGTCTCCCTATGTAGTTCAGGCTGGTTTTGAACTCACTATGTAGCCTAACCTGGGCTTGAACTCTCAGGATCCTCCTTCATCAGCCTCCTGAGTGCAGGGATTATAGACATGCACCATCATGTCTGGAAGTAAGCCAACTTTTGCTAACCTGTCCTTAAGATAATTTATTGTTGTGTCTTTAACAATGCATAGTGAAAAGTTCCACATATGTAATTCAACTGAAGCTACGTCAAGAGCCTTCAATTTGGCTTCTAATTTGAAATGTTAACTATGTATCTTTTGTTTCAAAGGATATAATTTAAACTATGCAAAAGAATGAAGTTGGACCTTTACACCATATATAAAAATTAACTTAAAATACTTCAAAGCCCTAAATGTAACACATAAAACTATAAATCTCGCAGAAGAAAACATAGGGGAAAATTTCAAGACATTAGATTTCACAAGCATTTTCTAGAGGTGACATGAAAAGCACAGGCAAAAAAAAGGAAAAATACCCAGTAAAAAAAATATACACTTCCCTAGTGAGCACCAGCATGTTTATGTATTCTGCAAGAAGGGGTAACTAAGATCATATAAAGCCCCTATAAGGGACATTCATCTCATATGGCCTGTGCTGAGCAAACAACTGTTTTGCCTATTTATTTCACACAGTTACTAATGTCCAGTGTACATGATGCAGTTTTTTTGGGTTTTTTTGGTACCAGGAATCTAACTCAGGACCTTGCAGTTGCGAGGCAGGCACGGTGGCAGTGAGCTAAATCCCCAGCCCACATTGTAGTTTTTTTCTGTTTTGAGTCAGAAAAAGAGATCACTGTCCAATGAAGGCTTCAGCTGGAAATATCTTAGTATACATGAGAGTCCCAATTCCTGTTTATTAGAGAATTAAAGCTGAGTATCACAGACACAAGCAACAGAATGAAAAGCCAATCTATGAAATGTAAGAAAACATTTACAAATTATATATCTGATGGAAGGTTAGTACCCAGAATATTTAAAGAACTCCTGCAACTCAACAACATAAAACAAAGTAACTTAAAACTGGGCAAAGAATTTGAATAGATTTTTTTTTCCAAAGATGACATATTTGTTCAAAAATCACTAATCATTAGGGAAATGCAAATGAAAACCATGAAAGAATATCACTTATTAGTATGGCCATTATGGCCAACAGCAAGTGTTGGTGATGGTATGGAAAAAGGAGAGCTCTATGCAATGTTGAGAATGTAAAATGTTATGCCCAATCACAAAGGAGTATGACAGTTCCTCGAAAAAATGAAATATAGCATTACTATATGACTCAACAATTCTACTTCTGGATATATGTATACAAAAGAAGTGAAAGTAGCATCATCAAGAGATTTTGCAGAACTGTATTCATAGTAGCACTGTTTGTAGCAGTCAAGAGGTGGAAGCTATCTAAGTTTCTGTCAATGGTTGAATAAATAAATAAATGTATATATTTGTACAGTGAGATATTCTACAGCCTTAGAAGGAAGAAAATTCTGATGTATGCTACAACAGAGATGATCCTGAGGAAATTGTGCTTAATTAAATACTAGTCACAAAAAATCAAATAGTGTATGATCCCATATATATGAAATATCCAAAGTTGTTAAACCCATAGAAATAGAAAATAGAATGGTGGTTGTAGGAACAGGAGAGAAGGAAGTGAGGAGTTGTTTAGTAGGTAGAGAGTTTCAGTTCTGAAAAAGTCATAGAGCTTGGTTGTACAAAAATGTGAATGGATTTCTCTCTACTGAATTGCACATTAGAAATGTTTCCAATGATAATTTTCACATTATGTTTTTTAAAATCACAATTTAGAAAAACATATACTTTAGGAAATTTGATACAAAGTAGATTTTGTCTAAGTGACTTTTATAACCCCACTAATTTAACATTATGAAATCAGGAAAAAGTAAATAACATACGGTATAAAGAAAAATAAATGAAAATTCTGGCAAGCATTTAGATAACATAAAAGACAGGAAATTTTAACTTTCTGCTATTCAAAATGCTTAACATATAAATATAAAATTTTATAGTTGATATTGTTGTAATTACTATTTTTATTATTATTTGTTACAAATATACAATATACTGTTAGAATATTTAAATGTATAGTTTCACGTTGTTTCAAATTGATTAAGAATTTGTAGCCTCATATAATTTTGAGAGTTTTATACCCTCAAATATAATTTTCCTTCCCTGTTTAATGAGGGTGAGAGTAGCCATTTATCCAATATTTAGCTCTGAAGAGCACCAGCTTGTTATACCATATTCTGTATGGAGAATTAAATTAAAACATATAAAGCCTATGTAAGGAATATTCTTCTCATATTTAGAAGTGAACATTTTCTCTAACAAGTTCTGGGACATTAGATTAGCAAGTACTGAAGTATCAACAAATTAGCACGTTGTGCCTATGCTGAGCAAAGAACTGTTTTGCCCATTTATTTTACAGAGTAGCCAATACTCAACGTATATGTTGAAATTCTATTTTGTTTGGGGACAGGAAAGGAGAGCTTACTACACAATAAAGGCTATAGTAACTGTGATTGGAAATAACTTAGTATACATGACATAGAACCCCAATTCTGTACATTTTAATAGTAATTTCTTCCTTACAGAACACTTATAGTGTCAAAATCTTCTTTCAATCCAGAATTGAATTTGAATAAAAATTAAAATCTAAATTTAACTTCTGTAAAAATTACAAACCTTTTAGTATACACACAAAATATGGAAAGTGTTTTATAGAAAAAATACTTGAACCATTTGTATCTTTTAAACTTGTATTAGTAGTGGAGGAAAACAATACATCATTTATTGAATGCATACTGTGAATTCTTTTGCTAATTTTAGGTATTCATAGGTCACTTTGCTAGAGAAATAAAGATTTAAGAGTATGTAATTAATTCCAAACAAACTGGTTCACATGTAGAAGAGCCCAGATTAGAAAATGCTTCTCTTGACTCCAGAATCTTTTGCCTTAATTTTTATTGGCATTATATTTTTCCCAATATTATTGTATTTTTCTTTATGTCTTCAATTCAGTGGCAGAAAAATCTTCGAAGAAGTGCATGCTATATGTGGTGAATTTTGGGAAGATAAATCGTAAGTTGAGTCTCCAGATACGTGTTTATTACATCTTGAGTAAACTTGTTGCATAATGAAAAATAAAGTATTTTATTTAAAGTCTCTGATTTGGCAGAGTAAATTCCAACTTACTTAAACATTTATTATTTCATATAATGGAATTACCTTCCTCAACAGCCTTAAAATCTCTAGAAATAAATTTCTGTCTTTTAATAAGTTATCCAGCCTAAGGTATTTTGTCATAGCAACCCTAGCAAGCTGGAACAGTTACCATTTTTATATATAAGAGCTATCTTTAAGTGGCACTGTGCTAGGAATACAAAGATGCAAAGATCTGCATCGATAAAGGTGTTTTAAGAACTCAAATGAGAATCCGAGTAAACAGGAAAACAAGTCTTACCTGAAATGCGTCAAGTGTCTCTGGATGTCAAGGTCTAGAATTGGAGTGGGTCTGGAGGATCCCAGTGGTGATCTATCTTGGCTCAGGAGGTCTTGGAACTCTTTACAAATTTGTCTAAAATGAAAGATATAAAATCGAAAGTGAACTTTTAAAATGGGGCTATAATTTCATGGCATGAGATTTTACCAACATTGATTCTCTCCTTTAAAAAAAGGACAAGAAAAAAATTCATCTAGAAACCTCCGAGGTTTTAATCACAGAATAAAGTTGAGATTCACAATCGTGACTTTGCTCTAGAGGATTGTGGGATGATCATAAAGCACCAAAAACAAGTAACACGCCATGGGCACTAACAAAACCTATTTGTAAAGAGGATATTCATAGATTAACCTCAGGATAAAGGATAATTCACAAGAAAAGATTATACAAATTTCTTTTTAAATTACTACAATCCAAATTTTTTTAGGCCAACAGATCTGTAAACAAGTTTCATTAATGTTACAGACTAACTTCATTCAGAGTCACAAATAAAGGAGATTTTGGAAAATTTTACTATGGCATTATGATTCAGACTCTTATGGTCTAATTTTGTGTTTTAATATTTGAAGTAAACACAGAGAGGTAAAACCTATGCAACTGGTGAATGGATCTAGGGATGGAGGGAGAAGGGAGAGAGCGGTGAGGAAGGAGATGTAAAAAGGATTTAGATGTGATTATGTATATGCACCAACTCCCATGATAAATGTATTATGTAACACAAACATGTACTAATTAAAAAATACATTTGAAGTAGTTAATTTCTTATCCAAGGTTTAGTCTACTAGCCTCACAAAAATTGTTAATATTATGTTCCATGTAAGCTGATTTCTTGCAGAAAAGACTCACAAGTACATTTATTATGGCTTTTCTTGTTTCAAGTGGTTATGATTTCTGATTATTGGTTTCAGTTGAATTAATAGCATTGTCATGTATGTTGGATGACAGTAAAGTTTGATGACTTTGTAATACATAGTGTAATGACATAATTTTAAAGAAAAGGAAATATAGCCAGACTTTTTTTTTAAACAACAAAACACTAAATTAATGTTAGCAGCAGGAGAATGAAGTAAAGAACTATCAAAAAACTGCTCAAAAGCATCCATCATTCATAGCAAAGCCACTCCAGATGCAACAGGCAACATGGTAGTTAGTAGGTATTTTGTCTATACAATGGACCATAGCAAAATATAATGATGTAGCCTTTATTATGATTATCAACAAGTACCAAAGAGTCAAATTATCCAAAGTGAATATTGGCTAGCCACAATTCTGTTGTAAAACATTTGTGCCATTAACAAATAACTATTAAAATGTGACAAAATACATTGAAGAATGAATAATTTATGCTGAATTTAAATCAGAGAAGATATTAGATGTCTAAAGTTTATTTGATTCTGCCAAACATCATTTGTGATCTTTTCCAAGGAGAAAGAGCCTCTGCCAGTGCTCAAATATTATGTCATTTCACAGAACTTGCCTTATTTGTTTTTACAGAACACAGGTGAAAGTAAATCAGGGTCATAGATAAACAAGTCCCTATATGCTTAAATTAAACAGAACCCCTCATATCTCTCTGTAGTGCTTTGGTTGAGTCTCTGAGACATAGCATCTGCATGTATGATTTTGACAAATGCGTGTGTCTACTTTCACTAAGAATATTTCCTTTGAAGTCCTCATTTCTCTTCTCAGCTGGCTAACTTCCAGGTGAATTGCTATATTTTAGTAGCTGAGTGTGATTTTTCTCAAGTACTTGATGCCATTTTGTGGGACATCATCATCTGCTATGCTTTATGTTATTTAAGAAGTAGATACACTGTTAACTTTGTTTCCTGAAAATATCTAATTGCTCATTTTTATGACTAGCCATTGAATTTTTGTGTAGTAGCCTATCACTATAACTCATTCTCACAAAGAAAGACCAGTCCTAATTTTCTCACAGATTAAAATAAACTTCAAAAAAATTAAAGATGGAAATGTCGCTTTAGTTCTTGTAGTATAATATCAAAATTAGACTATTGAATAAACTAATTTATAAATTGACAAGTGAATTTTGTTCCTACATAAACAATACAGCAAGTTATAATAAAATTGATGAAGAAATAATTGATGAAGAAAAGACAAAGTGTGGAAAAATTTAACCTATGCTAAATAATTCAACTACACCACACATGCAGCTCTAACAGGAGGAGTATTAGAATTCTCAACCTTTAATGTTCATTCTGCTGTTTAATTCACTGACGCAGAATAGGTCTCAGACTGAAATACAGATGACAATGTGGTAGATTCCCCACAGGCAGTTATCACTATTATTACATTATGACAGTTACAGAATTATTTTTATGAGTAGCTTCATTCTTATTTAAATTTTATTTTTAAAGTCATAATAGGAAATGTTCTTATGTCTCAAAAAGAAATGTCATACATTTGAGTTATATAATACAAGATGATGTTTGATGAATCATACCTTCTAATTTTACCACTTACATCATTGCCCTTAAACATGTAATTTTTTAGCTGATTTCTAGATATAAAGTTCTGTGCTTCTACTGACAATTATTATTATAATACTTGACTGAAAATGGTTAACTGTTCTGATTTACTTTAGTGTACATAAGATGTGAAACATAGTCTTAAATTCAATTAAAAAGTTTACATGTGTTTTCTATTAACCAAATAAATATTTTGTCTGATACATGGTACATTTTTAGAATTCAAAAATTGTCTCAGTATCTATCTTTTCATCTAATTATCTAAATTACTCCAAAATATTTGGTTAATCATAAAATACTAGAAATATGGAAGAAGTAGATGACCAATGACAAGCAATAAATGGGCCCTTTATATGCTATTAAATTCAGCTGGATCTGTTACCCCTCAAAGTGGAAAAGAAACATGGAGACCAGCCTGACAAAGACAGTCAGCAACTAGGTCTCTCACCAAGTCAATTTTAGATTTCATATATACTTTGATAAAGTTGAAGTCTTATTTAAAAAGTCTTATGAAAAAGTAGAATATAATAATTATTAATGTAGGGCACTAAATGCCAATTTTGAGCATTTTAATTGATGAAAATATCCAATGCTTTACTATAAGTGGAAAAGTAGAAACTGCTCAAAACACATGTTGGGTCTGTTTATATGTTGAAAAAATAGCAAGTTATTCATACATAGCCTCAATTTATCTACTTATAGTGATTACCTGTTGTATTGTATATATTGGCTATGACTGCATAGTTTCTGGTTCTTTAATTTTACTTATGGAATAGCTAATAAGAAGATGGGATCCGTATAAAAATAGCGATGAAAATTATGAAGACTGTATCTTAACTTCTCAATGATTATGCTTATTTATTAATCTATAAAATAAGTTAAATGGAAGAATAGTGTGTAAATGTCTAGCTGTGTACAAAGGGATCAAAACAAATTACATGCATTCCTAATTTTTTTTTTTTTTGGTACTGGGGATCAAACTTGGGTCCTTGCACTTGTGAGGCAGGCAGCGGAACCACTGAGCTAAATCCCCGGCCCAGTTCTCTTGGTATTTCTTTTTTCTTTTTTCTTTTTTTTTTTTTTGGTACCAGGGATCAAACTTGGTCACTCCCAATGTTTTATGAAATAAAAATTCAAAACATCACTCATAATATACATTGCAGCCAAGCATGGTCAAGCGCGCGCGCGCGCACACACACACACACACACACACACACACACACCTGTAATTTTGGCACTCTGAGAGACTGAGTCAGAAGATGAAAAATATGAGCCCATTTTAGGCAACTTAGTGACTTAGTAGGATACTAACTATTGACTATTTGTCAAAATGCAAACAAATAAATAAAAAGGGCCAGGTATGGATTCCAAGTTAAAGGAAAACACTACTACCTAGTTAAATTTGCTATTCAAGAGATGTCTTAGCATAATGGACAAATCTGGTGGTATCATTTTTATTCTGTGAAAACAATAACTCATTATCAATTTGAATGCAGACAGAGACTCACAAACACTTCCACGGAGAGATGGGAACCCATATGAAAATGAGAACTTCTGTTTCAAGGTGCTAGAGGTGAATAGTTCACACAAGAGGTGATTCTTTGGATCATGAGTTTAAATCTTATGATGCACATGGTAAAACCACAACCAAATAATTTCAAGATAGAAATTACGAAAGTGATTCCCCTTAGGTAATTTGTGCTTTGGGATAACTGTAGCATCCAGAGAACTCTGCATGATGTTGCCAGCTGCAACACTGTCATGCTTTGGAATCAACTGGAGAAACTATCTAACGCCTAGTACTGAAAATTCCCTTGATCTGTAGCAATGTCTTTATCTTCCTCCCGAGATTACGTTAGTGATTCAAACTAACCAACTACAAGTACTTTTAATTGCCCATAAGTATTTTTAATTCCTTCTGGAGAAACTGAAACATGATGGAAGAAGATCTTCTGGGTCAAGAAACTACTTGAAAGAAGAAGAGTACAAAGTAGAAAATCAAAGACCTCCCAGAAGAGGAAATGATTCCCAAGGTCTAGATTTAGGTCTTTCTATTGGTAAGTTTTCAGGTGCTTACACAACATAATGTTTACTGCCAAATTTTAAGTTTTATAGCTGACATAATTTACTTTCTCTGTCTTTTGGTTGTCATTCTCTTTCTGCTATTCCTTTTCTCTTTATCTCAATTTGCCTTTCTCTTCTCTTTTTGCCACCACCTTTTGTTGTTCTTAATTTTGGGACAAAATGAGATAATTTTCTAATACTTTTAGAAAAGCAATACACAAATATAATCCCAAACTCAAAACTAGAAGCCACAAACAGTGCACAAATCCCAAGTAAGTCACTCAAGACTCTTGGCAAGCATATTAGATCGCAGATGTCTCACACAAACCATTAAATCTGAAGAAAGATCTATTTTACCTTAGACTCTGGTGAAGGACTGTTTAGTTTTGACTTTATAAAGTTTTAGTCAATCTAAATTTCTGCCAGCATGTTATAAAATTGGCAGATAGTTTTTGCATCAATTCCTAAGTAATAATGTTTCTAATATGGTTTCTCTTAGTGAGTTTCCTAAATAATTTACAAATGATAATATAACCACCTAGAACTATCAGTTTTAAAACCTGAATACAATAGAATTAGAAAAGTGTTTAAGATTATTAATGGCCTATATGCAGCAATACCTTATTTCAGTAAAGAACAGATAGCAAGAATAAGTTATCACTTGAAGGAATTTCCTCTAAAACCTTTAAATGTGATTCACAGTGGTATTAAGTTTATGTTGGGTTTTCACACAGTAAATGGCAGTTTTCCATAAATTGTTAAAGGATTTTCAAGTCTGCAGGATTTAAAAGTCATCTTATGCAATCTTCCCTTTTCCTATCGGACTGACACATTTGCCTACATTATTTCCCTTGTTGTTTTTATTTGTATTTTTCCAGTGTATAATTTTCAGAACTTTTTACATAATTCTTTGAAAGTATCACCATGGGGGAGGCAAGGCCATTCAAGGATGATTTGCCTAATTATTCATAAGAGAAAATGAGGACAGCGATGGTGATCTTGGGCCCCAGAGGTCTCCCGGTGGCACTTACACCTCCGTGCTCTCATCTTTTTTTTTTTGCATTTCCCAGGGATTTGTGGTGTTCTGAGACCTTTGGTCTACATGAAGGTTCAGTGAGTGCTTTAGAACTTAGACTAAATTACATAGCACCACAAAGACATCTGCTTGAAATTTACATTTCTAAACATTTTCTTCCTTCTTGGAATTTCTTCATATTCTGAAGAGGTTCTCTAAGAACTTCATTAGTTTCATCAGTAGTCTTGTCACTAATCACAGGCAGATTGTAAACCTTGCCTTGAATGCAGATGAACAGACAATCTTTGTTTAGTACATTTAACTGAGGGAGTGTGAGATCTCGATCTCATTCTTTCAGAGAACTGGTGCTTTCGACACTGTTTCCCTCATTCAAAGAAAATGGAAAGACTGAAAATGAAGGTCCGTGGAGGCTTTTGGATACTTCGGTGCTTACTTGGTTGCTAGGATCATCTTTTTCCTTGCTGTCTGTTCCTTCTGTTCCATGTGCTGTCTGGCGAGGTGTTCTCCTACTGCTTTGGCTGGAAACTCCGTTTCACACGTGTAGCCAAAGTCCCGAGCCAAATGCAAAGCCTCCCCTGTGGGCAGAAAGCACAAGTCAGTTTCTTTCCAATGCCAACATTATAATAATAATGTATAACCTTTTCTTCTAGGGTCATTCCTGGCTTTGGACAGAGGGATCATTTTTCCTTTTTATCCTAAAGAATACAAGGAAAAGACTTCCTGGGTCAGTGAGGAACGAAGAGGAAAAGCTGAGAAACAGAGGTAGGTATAGTATTTCACTTTTCTCATGATTGTCTGGTCACTAGACTAGGCTGAATTCCAAGGTACTACACATTGATTCCCAAGGAAAAAGCTCCATGGACATATCATTTCACTGCTGCTCAGCCTATAACCTACTGAGCCCCTTACATCTGAGCTATTCTGTTGACTTTTCAAAGATACTGATAAAAACACCTAGCAAAGGGTCCAAATAACTTTATAACATATTTGGAGCACTTTGGAAAGCAAATTAAATGAATTCACTTTCATGATACTACCTTGATAAAATATATTATGTAATAAAATTAGGATTGTTAGGCATTCTGAAGGCTTCAATGCATTATAGTACTATGTACAATGCATAAGTATTATTATTTCACAAAATAATAAATAACATTTTATTTTACAAATTGTTAAAATCAAACACATTTTTTTGTTTGTTTGTTTGTTTGGTACCGAGGATCGAACTCAGGTCCTTGAGCTTGTGAAGCAGGCGGCGGAACCACTGAGCTAAATCCCTGGCCCTCAAATACATTTTTTAAGAAATGAAGTAAAAATGTCTTAACAAGAAAATAAGATTTCATGAAGGAAATAAATCTTTAAAAATTAAGTATTTTTAAAGTTTAATCAGGGTAGGTGTGGTGGTACACGCCTGTGATCCCAGTAACTCAGGAGGCTGAGGCAGGAGGTTCACAGCCTGGGTAAACTAGTGAGACTTTATCTCAAAATTTTTAAAAAATGTAGAAAGGGCTGGTAATGTAGTAGTAGAGCACCCTCAAGCTTGATCTCCAGCACTGCAACAAAGAAAAAGGAAAAGTCTTTCACTGGCTATATAGTAAGCATCAACTTTGTTCAAGGCACAGAGCTAGGTAGGAGTAACAGTGGGGACAAGGGGGCCACAAAAATTGCTCTGTCTCTAGGGAGAGGACCGCATTGCAACAATAATAGCAATGTGGGTAGCACATTAACCATAATCTGGGCATGTTTATTTATATAGCATTATACATGGAATATGTAGTACAAGTATCAAATGCATGTTAAAATATTTTTCAAAAGTTCAAAGGAAGGGCCGGGGATTTAGCTCAGTGGTTCCCCTGCCTGCCTCGCAAGTGCAAGGTCCCGAGTTCCGATTCCCGGTACCAAAAAAAAAAAAAAAAGTTCAAAGGAAGAGTAAGTCGTAAATATTGGCAGGTGATCCAATAGACACATAGCTAATCAAATTTGCCACAAAGAAACAAAAAGTAGGGCCGGGGATTTAGCTCAGTGCTTCTGTTGCCTGCCTCACAAGCGCAAGGACCTGAGTTCGATCCCTGGTACCAAAAAAAAAGAAACAAGAAGTAATAAAAAGTAAATAAAAAGTATCAGAAATAAAAAATAATTAGACAAAATCACAAGAAGTTTGTTTGAATATAGGGCAAATAACACTCTAAGAACTGATAGGATTTGATCTCATTTTATACATACAGAATAACAGAGTACTCAATTAATTATATCAGGAATGAGTAAAAATAATTTTATTGAAGAAGAGAAGGAAACTTATAGGTGTATGAAATAAGTATATAAATAGGCTAGTTGATAGCAATAAAATATTTTTAGTAGAGTTATTTTCTTCTAGAGAAAGAATTAGTCTTCAGATTAGAACAGTCATATTTACAAAGAATCTTAATGACTATAGAAGGCAGGAAGATTTTTAGGATATTATAAAGCTTAGAAAACACAATCCTGAGAGTAATTTACCTCTTAAATTACCTTTGCTTTTCTACAACAAAAAATTCTAAGATGCAAAATGCATAAATTACTTCCTACAGATTTTTTCCCAAACATATTTTTATGAAAGATTCCAAACATGCAGGTGTATGGAAAGGATTTTACAGTAATGAATACTCACATGTTCATCCTTAATATTATACTAATCTTGCTTTATCATATATTCTCCTTTCTGTCTATCCATCACCAATCTATATTACTTTTTATGCATTTCAAAGGAAATTGCAAATCTCAGTATGCATTTTCTGAAAAATTTCAGCATGCATGCATATCAATATTTGTTCATAGACTTTTTTTCCTGAAAAACTTTAACTTCAAATATTTTTCCTGATATATATTATGAGAAAAGAAGAAACAAGACTAAGAACTCTAATGATGGAGAGTTTTGCATATATTTTTTCCATTCTGGGGAAGGAACCCAGGCTTCATGCATGCTAGGCACATGTTCTACCACTGATATACCCCTCAGCCCTGTTTGAGTGATTTATGCCTAATGACTAAATAAGACCTGTTGAAAGAACATCTAGGCAATGAGATGGACTGCTGTTACACCTATGCAGATATTAGTTAACATCTTGACTTGAATTTTCAGTGTGTGAAAATGTTAACTATCCAATCAAAATTAGGCTCTTCCATTTATGCAAGTACTGTATGTTACATTTTTGTTATCCACAGATAGTAATATTGCCATTATTTTTTTATCCACTCATTCATGCTGTAACCCTTTTATTCTCACAGAGTGAGGAATCTGTTCCAGGCCTTTGCAAGGGTCCATCTGAATATAAAAATAGTGCAACGAAGTAATCAATTAGTGTAGATAGTATTGTGTGGCTCAGCCTATAAAGTGCTTCCACACACATTTCAAATGAGTAACATCAGGTCTTTGGCTGAAATTTTTACATTCCTGTAGTAACTATTTAGCTTGTCCCTTATTTCTAACAGAGATGAGATGACATAACTAAAAAGAAAGGGCTTTTATATCAATTAGTATGAATACTGCTAGTTTAATGGAAGATAACAGTTTTGGGTAAAGTTGTGACATCCAAGCAATATTTTAAAGTATTTATTGCCAGCAGTTTGTCAGCCTAACCAACTAGAAAGAAAAGGTATGCATATTTTGCAGAAAAAAATGGCACAAAGATTTGTTTTAAAAGGACATTGCAGGGCCTGGGATTTAGCTCAGTGGCACTGAGCCTGCCTCACAAGCGCAAGGTCCTGAGTTCCATCCCCAGTACAAAAAAACAAAACAAAACAACATTTCAGTGCCATGTAGGATGCTCACTTGTGCTAGAAAAATGTTAAAGAGAGTCCATTTGAGACATTTTCTATTTGGAGGTAAGAATGTCAAATCTTGACCCAGGAAATAACTCATGTGGACCTTAGGACTCAAAAAGTATCTTGAAACTAACAACATCATCACTAGTGTCATCTTTACACATAGTGGCATGATGCATTGTTCACACGGAAATAGATTTAGATAACATTTTAACAGAGACTATTACATATATAAACAGTGCAAACAGGAGGATGGCAGTGTGCCTCTCGAATTTTGTGCAAAAACCTGATTCTTGAGGATCTGTCCCATTTTATGCAAAGCTCTCACTGTGTGGTAGTTTTAAAACAGTTTGACTGCAACAGCTGCTATTTACAGTTACACTGACAGCGAGATCCTTCCTTCCCTTAGTTCTGTTTACTGCTTTCTACTGCTTGCGATGTAACATTGTTACAGGATGTATAGCAATGCGACATCAAAAGAAGTGGCAAGTGAAGACACTCTGATATGTAGTTAAAATGTGTGTATCATGCCAAAAGAGCTTTTTGTGTGTGGACCCAACAATGAATGAATAGATCCATGAATTAAAATGCACATGAAATTCAGAAACAATGAAAAATCTAAATTTAAAACCTCAGTAGCAGATGCCTTAAAGTGTAGTTTTAAGAAAAAAACAAATTTTATGATCAGAAAAATATATGAATGTATCTGTAGGAGATTTGACTGGTTTTCTAAAGTTAAGACATATAAGTTTCTCTCCATCTTTGGGGTGGTTCCATGTGACCTTGTGAATAATGGCAGGTGCAGTAACCTGTGTTGGAAAGGTCATTCAAGAAACGATGTTTCCCTTTTATTTCCCAAAGTCGCTGCTGTCACTTCATTCCTGTGAGGGATGAGGCAGGATGACCTAGTTCTTTTTTTCAGAGTGGGCTTAGGCTTTCCTTTATTTCAAAGTATTTGGCCATCCAGCCCTTAAAAAAAAGCAATGAAATTAACTTTCACAAATACACTCATTTTATCTCCTGTCATTTCAAGAATTATATATTTTAGAAGTAGGATCCATGGGTGTGAACTTAGTATTGCAATATCCAATGTCATTAAATAAAAACAATGACTCAGGTTTTAAATTTTAGTCATGTATCTGTGATTTCAATTTTATTTTCATGTATAGGGAAAGAGTACATTCAAACCTATGGGATTATTTCAAGAAGTACCCATTGGAAAGCAAATTTGAGTATAAATTAAAACCTGGACAACACATTATATTAATGTCAGGCATAGTGGTGCTCGTCTGTAATCCCAATTATTAAGGAGCCTCAAGCAGGAGGATCACAATTTGAGACCAGATTGGGTAATTTATTGAGACCCTGTCTCAAAATAAAAATTTTTGGAAAAGGCTGAAAATGCAGCTCAGCAATCCCAGGGTTCAATCTCCAGTACTATTTTTTAAAAAACCCTACAAATCATGTTAAATAGTCTTATAATGTCAAAAATCTAAAATTACAGTACACTCTAAAGCTGCAGAACAAGATTATTATGTCCCTTATAAGTTTTCTAAACCTCCATGAAAGAACTTCATACTATATCACTGTATTTCATATGATTTATGATATAAATAGGTGTCTTAAAATCTAGTCACTTTCCTAATTTAATGAACATTTTGTTTAGACATCAATAATTTATTGGATTATTTCAAGGCAATAGTTTTGTTCCCTCACTCAATACCTTGCAAATAGTACAGCTCCTGATTTACAATACATAGCTGGTAACATTTTT